CTTCCTTTTTTTGCTAACTTGAACATGCATCACATATATATTGTCCTTTTTTCTTTTCCACCTCAAATCTCCCTAGAGTTGTATAAGGCTAACACATTTATTCGAGATGGTCTTCGTGGATGAATATGTAAGTTAGAAAAGTTCATTTTTTTAGTCTTACTTTAAATTAATCATAGAGATGCATGCAATAATTTTAAGAACAACAATATCAATTCCAAGATTAAAGTTTCGATTGTTTTATCCTATAATATATTGTCCCTTTTCGCTTTTCCACCTCAAATCTTCCTAGAGTTGTATAAGGCCAACAAATTTAATGAAGATGGTCTTCGTGGATGAACATGTAAGTTAGAAAAGTTCATTTTTTGGGTAGTCTTGCATTAAATCAATCATAAAGATGCCTCTCGATTGTTTTAAGAAAAACAATATCAATTTCAAGAATAAAGTTTCTATTATTTTATTCTGTAATTTTGTATACAAATTTAAAAATCTGTGCGAGACATTTATGTTAAAAATTTGCTTGCGGATGTAAAAGATAAGCTTGAATTGTTTATTAACTTTAAGCTTAAGGGAACTACATTTTGTAATGAGAGGGATCTAATATTCTTTAGAAGTTTGATACTTTTGGTATTGTTCTTGGTGTATACATTTGTTGTTTGAACTTTTTGTTTCCTTTTGAATTGATACGGTAGTACGGTTCAAATAACAAAATTTCTTACCCATGCATGTATCTGTGAACGGGGTGAAAACAAAAAAATCATTAGTTTATTTAAAAGAGTAAATACTTTTGTTTATGCATAATCCTCTTAGTTTTGTTGAAAAGTTAGTTTTACGAATTATGCTTTATAAATTAGTTTTGTTTAATTCAATTCAAAATGATGAAGCGACTTAAGATGAGCTCAAACTTAGGGAGCAACTTATTCATAAGAGGTTTATTTTGTTTAATCCTCACAAATTGATTCTTTTCCTTTCACTCAAATTCTTGAACCAAACATAGCGTAAGTGTTTGAGCTTATCCTAAGTCACTTCATCATGTTCATCATACTATAAGAGTATTTGCACTTAGCATAAATAGGAGTATTTTTGTTCAGTCTACAAAACAACTATTTTCTATTTTTTGATCCTTTTGATGCATCATTGATACATGAAGAGTTAATGTTTATGTTTTGTCAGTTCTACCCGATTGGTGTATAGATACAACTGAATAGAAGTTTCTTCAGTGTAGTGATGCTCATTTTATTCTACTTTAATTTATTGTTATTGCAGTTCTGCTGTATTTGTAATAGCTCAATGGTTTTAACTTGCAGAGATAAAGTTGGTGGATATACAAGCATGCTAAGAACACAAATTTGAGTTGGTGATGCTGCTTCTATGGCATATATTAAGTGAGATTGGCTTTCAATTTTGAATGTGTCTAATGGAAAATAAGAAAAAACAATTGATTGGTAGCAAAATATGCTACTATGTATGTAAGGGCCATGCTCTATTTGACAACTTTGCATTGATAGGTTCATTGACAGAGAGAATGAACTTAGACAATCAAAACCACTCACTCCACACCCATCATAAAAACTTGTCATAGATCCCTAGACAATGTCCCGGCTCAGTTGGTAGTTTGCACCCTCTAAAGAGGAGAAACTATCCAACTCCGGGAATTGAAAAAAGGTACATATCCAATGTTATGAAGAATTTATATCTATTGTAGTTTTGGGTTGCCAAATTCATTACCTTTAATGAGAATTGGATGTCAAGTGTGATATGTTAGTAGTTTTATAATAAGATTCATTTCTCTTGAATTGGTTTTTTTACGCAAAGCACCAAAAACTTCCTAAAATTTCTCTACATGGGTATATGGTCTGTGTATGCTTTCATTGCGTGGCACTATATTTTTCGGAAAATAACTGCTTGAGGACATATACACTTAAGTACTTTTAAAACAAACAGGTAGATCTCATATAAAAATGTTAGCTAGAGGTCGATTGGTCATTGTTTACTCTTTTTCTTGAAATGAGTGTTATAAAAATTGCATTGCATAGATAGAGGCAACCATTTCTGTTTAGTCTAAAAAAATTGCATATTATCAGTATTTTATGATTTTCATGTCCCATAGAAGTGGTTTCTTTAGAGTTCACATTGTATTATGTGATTTTTTATACATATATCAAACTGATGTAAAACAATATAACCACTTCGTAATCTAATTCGTAATTAATGTAAATTTTTTAAGTAGAGAGTATATCTTTTATAATTTGTATTAATTTATCACGGGTGTAGCTGGGCTTGGTATTGCTAGATAGTTTATGAGCATTAAAGCACTCCAGTTTATTAGTGTTCTCCCTTCTTCCGCTGACTCAACATCACAGGTATATAGTTCTTTTTTTTCTTTTCCACTTTAAATTCCCTTAGAGTTGTATAAGACCAACAAATTCAATCAAGATAGTCTTCGTGGATGAACATTTTACTTTGAAAAGTTCATTTTTAGGTACTCTTGCTTTAAATTAATGCAAGACATCTCTGCAACAATTTTAAGAACAACAATATCAATTTAAAGATTAAAGTATTTATTCTTTTATTTTGTAACTTTGTATGCATATGTAAAAATATGTGATAGACATTGATGTAAAGTATTTGCTTTATGATGTCAAAGATACACTCAAATTGCTTATTAACTTAAAGCTTAAGAGAACTTACATTTTGTTATGAGATGAGTCTTATGTATTTGTTGTTTGAATTTTTTGTTTCTTTTTGAGTTTATTCGGTGTTATAGTTCCAATTAAAAAATTGCTTGCTCATGTGAGTATCTCTTTATGGGGTGAAGCAGAACATTATTTGGCTATAAAAGAGTAAATACTTTTGTTTATTCATAATCTTCTTAGTTTTATTTAAATGATTAGTTTTACATAGAGTAAATTCCATAATTAGTCCTTTATAACAAGGGGGTTTCCATATTTAGTCCTCTATTATCAAATATTATCTCCGTAGTCCTTTTTTAAAGGTACCTTTCCACAAATGGTCTTTTTTTTATCTTCTGCCGTATTGGTGTTAATTTAAAAGCTAAAAGTATAATTTGACGTCAACATTATGTCTAGTGACGTGTTCTAATATTGTTAAGCGGATAACACAAAAATAATGACTATGATTGTGGGCTAGGATTCTGACGAAAGATCATATTTGTAGACTATAGTTATCGTAAAAAGCGACTGTAATTCACAAACGACGCAAACGTAACAGCCTTTGGAATTGTGTATGACAAAAAAGATATATTATCATTGTGAAATTACACTTTTAGCCCTCAAATTAACACCAACATGATAGAAGATCAAAAAAAGGATTATTTGTGGAAAGATACCCATAAAAGAAGGACCACTTGAGTAATATTTGATAATAGATGACTAAATAGGGAAACCCCCCTGTTATAAAGGACTAATTATAGAATTTACTCTTTTACATATTGTGCCTTATAAATTAGATTTGTTTAATCCTCTTCATAATGATGTAGAAACTTAGGACAAGTTCAAACTTAAGAAGTGACTTATTCATAAGAGATTAGTTTTGTTTATTCCTTCAAAATTTATTCTTTTCCTTTCTACCAAATTCGTGAACCAAACATAGTGTAAATGTGTAAGCTTATCTTAAGTTGCTTCATCATTTGTATCATCTTATAAGAGTTTGCGCTTAGCATAAATATGAATCTAAAAAAGTGCATATTGTCTATATTTTAATCATTTTAATGCACCTTTGATATATGAAGAGTTAATGTATGTTTTGTCACGTGAAGAGACGGTGATCATTCGGGATACACTTGCCAAAATTGCAATAAATTTTAGGTGACATGAATCATTAAAAACACTTTGTCATGTACTCTTTCAATTTCGTGACAAAATATTAATTAATATAGTATTATTTATTCTACTTTGTTGCTAATGTATATTATTAAAAAAATCATGTTAAAAATATATTTTCTCTAATTTGTAAAAATATTACATTGCAAAATATTTTTTGAATTGACAAAAAATTCGTTTAAACCCGTGCGTGGCACGGGTTAATATACTAGTATATATAATAAGACCAGCCAGCCCATTACCAAAGAAAAGAAGATAATATCACTCTAATGAATTGACAAAATTGTTAAGTATAAAAAACGTAATTTCATTATAATCAACTAAACTAAGACGGTTGGATTTGTGAATCCATAGTTATAGAAGGAGGAGAAATGTATGAATAGAGAAGAAGGATGAATAAGATTAGTGTGATGTGTTGAGTTGGGGTAATTTACCTAAATAGGACTAAAACATAATGACTTTCTCAATATAGGACCATATGTTTTTATTTCTCAATGTAGGACCATTGGTTATTATCTATTAGTCATTATTCAACTAAATGTCCAGCATCACTTGGACATTATTCTTCTCACTGGTCATTATTAAGTCATATTTAGGGAATAAAAAAGTTTAAGTCCTACATTGGGAAATGACTTATGTTTTAGTCCTATTCAGTGCAAATTTCACTACAAACTAATGGGCCGGCCCAACAGATTGGGCCGCCTCTAAACGAATAATTAATACTCCCTCCGTACACCTAAGATCTTCCCATTACGCGTTACGAGGCTTGACCGACTTTATTTTCAATTCAATTTAATTGATTATAGGAGTAAAATTTTAAAATAAAATTTATATAGTAATAAACTACATGAAAAGTTCTACAAAACTATAGGTGATAAGACTATATTATTTTACGAAATGACTAGTAAAAATAAGCAAATAAAGTGAGTAAAGTTTGACACTGTGAATAGTGTCTGAGAAAATTTATGGTGGACAGAGGGAGTATATGACTAACGGGTTGGTCTAACACACTGGACCGCTCCAACTAATATTGTAAAAGACCAGATACCTCATGTTCAGGGTATCCAAAGACAATATCCCATGAATGGATAAAACACATGAATGGATGTGACATGTTGGTGTAAAGATCATGACCATTTACAATGCACATTAGACAGCATTGAAAATGGTCCAATTTTATTTTCTTTTTGGTGAATGAAAATGAGCCAAATTTTATTTTAAATCTTTGAGTGGAAACTACGTGAGGCTGAATTGAAACCCATAAACAACATTAGATTAGTACGCAAGAATGACCAACCATGACTAAGCTGCTAGGCTGCATGTGACTGTTATTAGGATGCAGTTGGAATTGCATATCAGCTGTAGAACTCAGAGCATCATTTCTACCTGAAATAGAAAGGTTTGGATGATTGGAAATGCAAAGAGTTAGCTGGTAAACAAAAGAAAAAAAAAAGTGGCAGTAGCATAGTCCCTTGGCAGATGAGCAAGAATTTAGGCCAGAGTTAAATGCAAGAGGTTTAGCATTCAGAGACAGATGCATACCCCATTCACTAGTAATATCAGGAAGATTTACTTCCACTCCTACAAGACTGATTGGTACAGGTGCTCCAACAGATACACAGATCCTGACCATGATCATAAGCCGGATAATGGCTTTTTCCTGCAGCTGTGCTTTTACGTAGATCGGAAGTCATGACTACATCAATAATAGTACTCAGCTAGCACAAGAATTTTGCTTAGGAGCATTGGATGTAACAGCTTACTATTTATTTTCTATAGCATATCCTCATTTGGCTTAGTGATTGCCTAAATAGAAAGAGGTTTGATGCTAGAGAGTTTTTTGATCAAAATAAAACAATCATTCCATTAAATATCAAGCAAAACTAGGAGGGGAATCCCACTCCCGAAATTGAGTCCCGGCTCTTCTTGCTAAAGAATGAGCCGTACTATTACATTCCCGACGAACAAAAGATAAAGTAATAACATCGAAGAACGCCATAAGCGACAAGCAATCATCAACAAAAGCACCAAAGTAAGAACGATAGGAAGCTTCATTTCCCTCTTGTAAAGATTTGACCAAATTCAAACAGTCCGATATGGAAAGGCTGAATTGCTTCGTCAAGCCTCAAACTTGTTGCCTACAATTAATATGTCACCATGTATAATTTTATGCACATGACCAATGCAGAGGTAAGCAACCTAGAATCTCCTATAATGAAGGAATACATATTTCTCTCTTATACAAAGCTGATAAGCAATCCTGGAAATGCATGTTTTTTTTTTTTTGTAATAGACGGTGGTTAGTAAAATATAATCAAGCTTTAGGAAAATTCCCACCGGCAACATCTACTACCAGTACATAAGTACCATCATTGGGCAAGCTCAAAATCTAAGAGAGTATGCTGGTAAATCCAACTTCCAACATAAGATAGGTTCTCATAAACGCTAATTTTATTATTTTAGAATGCAAACAATATTTAGCATGCAATGTTTCATTTACAAAATGTGCAGCAAGCAATATGTGCAGTTTGTGGATCTAAAAGCAAAATATTTAGCATGCACTAACGTCTCGGTAAAGTCTTGCATAGTCACTAACAACCTTCCTGATTGTTTAAGCAGATGGATGAAACAACCAACCTCCATGTCTTCTAATAGTAATAGGGGAAGTGAAACAAGTGCAAAAAGGAGCAGCCAGGCCATAATGGAGATACTCCGGAAGGCTGAGACGATCCCCACTACAGAACAACCACAGCACAGGCTAGCTATCACTAAGTTAAAGATCTTTGCACAGATTGATCCTCTCAAACCATCACTAATTGATTCAAACACAATCCATTAGATTGAACTACATACAAACATGATAATCCATGAAAACCAAACCAAGTTCGATAAGATTTCACCTACGAGCTCCTCGTCCAGTCAGCAACAAAGCTATTACCTGAGAAATGTGATGTGACCTAGCCCAACCATGATAACATCAAGGGGACCCCTGCGAGCGAGCAGGAGGCTAGTGGCCGTAGCGTTGATAGCTACATCTTCCCAGACGACCCGATCACTACTACGTCCACGAAAGCGGTCGAGAGCCACGCGACTCGCGGCCCCGAAAAAGGCGCCGCAACGAGCAGACGGGCTTTGCCGGAGGATGCTTAAACCAGCGGTGATCGCTAAAACGCTGATGCTAATCGCTAACGTTATTCTCAAACAGGCCCTATATAAGATGAAGATGAAGTGATCGAATGAAACACACCCTTAGTGTCTTCTGATCTTGTTTGACTTCTTGATGTTTAAGTTTGTTTTGGGATTTTTGTCTTTATGATTGACTCTTGCTTTCCTAGGGGGCTTTGCCTTCTGAACCCAAGAGGGACTTTTTTGAGTACTAAGAGCGAGTATCCACAATGTCATTTGAATAATTCAATAATTGTAGTATAATCAAAACAAAAATCCTTATCCCACCATTGTAGGAGAAAAATGCTAATTTAAGGGAATTCCAAAAATACTTGACGGAATAAATTGTCATCTAATTTTTTTTGAACGGTGATTTGAATAACAAAGGTCTGATAGACTGCTAATGTTGACATCGTCCGCAGTAGCGGAGCATAGAATTTTAAGTTACCAAAAGCGTAGAAGTGAGCTCCGGTATCATATTACTCCATATAATGTTGCATTAATTGAATAATAGATTTACTTAAATGAAGAATACAAAAGAATATATACAGGAGCGGGACGGTTCCCATGACATTGCCGGGCAATGTCATGGGATGGTCCGAGGGCGCTCCTGTGCTCCGTTCGTAAAATTAACGGTTTCTACCCCGTAACCCCCGGTTAACCCCCCACCATGCTCCAACCCCAACACCCCCCACCCTCCTTCAGTTGCACCTCACAAATTAATTTTGATTATAGGTAAGTTCCTATTTTATAAAATATTTTCATAATTTTATTTAATTGTAGGTCAAAAACTGAACTAAGGACAAATATTATTGTTTTCAAGCTCAATCCCATCTGGTGTGGATCGTGCAAGGGCCTCGTCTCGGACGTGAATAGGCTTGAAAGTATAGAATTTGGCGCAAAAGAGATAGTACCCAAAGTTGACCACTTGCAAGAGTGTGATCAACCAATAGAAGTACTCCAACTTCCCCTTGTTCAAATTGTTGTCCGGGAGCCAATTTGAGCCCCCGGGACCCGCGCTCAGCCTGTGCACCAATGACACAAGCACAGTGCTGGCGTAGTTCCCGGCGGCAATGGCTGTCCAGAACAACGCCGAGGCGGTGCTCCTCATGCTCTCCGGGGACTGGTCGTAGAAAAACTCCAAGTGACCGATGGACATGAACGCCTCGGCCACCCCGTGCAAGCAATACTGCGGGACCAGCCAGAAGACCGGAATGGGAATGGTCATATCTGGGCGGTCGGTCAGCCCGTGGGCAGAGGCTGCGCTCTTGCGCTTGGTCTCCATGAAGCCCGCAACGAGGGTGGCAAAGATGGAGATGGCGAAGCCGATCCCCATGCGGGCTAGGAAAGAGACACCGCGCCGGAGGCCCGTGAACCTGCGGGCCACGGGCACGAAGACGCGGTCGTAGAAGACGATGGTGCAGAGCATGGAGGACAGGGTGAAGACGGACATGGATGCGGGCGGGATTTGGAAGGAGCGGGTGAGGTGTCTGTCCATGGTCTTTGCTTGTTGGATTGAGAAGGTGTTTTGTTGGGCATATGCTGTGATCAGTATGATTCCGGACGCCCATATTGGACCCATCCGGATGACCGATTTCAGCTCCTCTACCCGGTGCACCGTATTTAGACTCCATAGGTCCGGCGATTTAGGGTCCTCGCCCTCCGTTATTATTGCTGCCTTGTCCAAAAATCTGCACCCACAAAATAAATAATAATAATAATAATAATAATAGTAACTTAATAATAATAATAATAATAAGTTAATAATAATAATAATTTAATAATAATAATAAATAATAATAAGAATAATAATAGTAATAATCATATACTCCCTAATAATAACAATAATAATAATAATACTCCCCGCAAGCCATTTATTTTCAATATTTCATCCAGGCAAATTTTAACTTCTACAGATCAGAGTAGTAAAAGTAAAAGAATTTTTTTATAGCTTCTTAAAATAAAAACATTTTTCTTTCAACAAAGAAAAAAACATTTCGTTTTTTATTATTGCATGCAGACACTTGACCATGCATGTCTTTGTCACGTTGTGGCCAATTATTCACACCACTTCAACTTGCGTGTTTAAATTTTGAATCCACCCTCACTAGAACACGAAAATATATCATAGTCATACCCTACCAGGACGTATAACGTGATTTTTTTTGCGGGGTACAACAACTATAGTGTGATTTTGATAAAGACTTCCCATAATTTTTTCAAATGAGAGATAATGTATTCGATTCCTAGAGTGGATAGTAACTTTATAAGCTTAATAGATTTAGAATTTATGAACATACTCCGTATAGAATTTATATTACAATAGAGTTATTAGTGTTTAAAAATTAAAAAATATTCATGGACTAACTATTTTTAAAATCTCCAAAAGTGAAAGTCTAACTTTTATAAGGCAATAACTTGAAAAAGTAACACTGTAATTTATTAGCACCACAACAATCATAGACTAACTAGTTCATATTATTCCGAAAATTATTTTGTCTTAACAAACATGTCAAAGTTAGCCAAATTTCGTATCATGCGACATTACACGTCATTGTCCGACCCGATCCTAATTTGTATCAATTACCTCATTTGTCCCATAAGTGATGTTTATTTTTTCTTATTAGAGTTAGTTCCAAAATTTTGTTTCATTCCCATTTAGGATTAAAATTGTGATGAAACTTGTTTTTCTTTATTTTGAAATAAATTTTAATCCTAATTTTTCTCTTTTCAATCTAAATTAAAATTAAGGTTTTTATACTTTTTTTAGGTTGTCTCAAACGGTAACTAATTTGGGACTTAAAAAGTAAAGTTTCATAAATAAATAATTAAATAAATAAAGGAACATAGAGATTTGGAAAGTACACATATAGAAACAAATACGGATCGGAGTATATAGTCCTTAATTATCAGCATCGCTCAAACTCACTATAACTTAGGAGAGTATGTACATATATACTTTTTCCGTCCCAAAAAGATCTATCCGTTTCATTTAATACGGAGTACGTGATATATATTTAATATACATATATGAAACACAAACCCATTCTTATACCCAAATATATGTTCTCTAAAGAGTAAATTCCATAATTGGTCATTTATAACATGGGGGTTTCCATATTTAGTCATCTATTATCAAATATTACCTTCGTAGTCTTTTTTTTAAGGGTGCCTTTTCACAAATGGTCCTTTTTTTGATTTTCCCCCATGTGGGTGTTAATTTAAAGGCTAAAAGTATAATTTGACATCAACATTATGTTTAGTGACGTGTTCTGATATTGGTTAAGTGGGTAACACAAAAATAATGACTATGATTATGGGCTAGGATTCCGACGAAAGACTACATTTGTAGACTATGGTTGTAGTAAAAAGCGAATGTAATTTACAAACGACGCAAACAGAACAACTTTTGGAATTATGTATGATAAAAAAGATATATTATCATTGTGAAATTACACTTTTAGCCTTCAAATTAACTGCCACATGATAGAAGATCAAAAAAAGGACTTTTTGTGGAAAGATACTTATAAAAGAAAGACCACTGGGATAATATTTGATAATAGAGGACTAAATAAAGAAACCTTCTGTTATAAAGGACCAATTATAGAATTGACTGGTTCTCTAAAATCTAAATATAAATATATACGACACAGAGCTAGTACTATCTAGCTTGTGGAGAGCTGGATGGATATAGACAACCCTCATCCCGCCGGCCAGTACTCCATGTCTATCCATAGTTAATAATTCTCTCATTAAATACTCCGGGATTATTTTATATATATACTTCCTAGCTAGATCCCCCTCGAAACATTTCCATTTTATCCGTCTTAAAAAATTTCATAAATAAGTTAATATCTTTTATTTATCCATTATCCCCTATTGTTCTCTACCATAAAAAGAGAGTAAATAAGTAACATCCCTTAGGGTATGTTTGGTTGGAAGGGAGGAGAGGGGAAAGAATGGGTGGAAGGGAATGGAAAAGGAAGGGAAGGATTCCCTTCACCTTGTTTGGTTTGGAGGGGAAGGAAATGTTTATTTTTAATTTTCTATTACTCCCTCCGTTTCTCAAAAGAGTTCCTCTTTTGACTTTGAGAGAAAATAAGGAAGTGTTAAATTGTAGTTGACTTTCCAATTTTGCCCTTGATGTGATGGGTAAAAGTAAGATGTGATAGTTTAGTTGTTAGTGAAAAATATGATGTGATATGTAGGGTATGAAAAAGTAATGTTAAAAGTGGTTTTTTAATAGAAAAGGGGAGTGTTTTAAGAAAAACAAAAAAAATGAAAGAGGAAGGGTTTTAAGAAACGGAGGGAGTAATAGTTTTCATTTTTAAAACTATTTTTTATCTATTTTAAAAAAATTATTATCAGTATTTTTGATTTTATTCTTTCATTTTTTTATTATTTTAATTTTTTATAACTATTTTTATCATTTCTCCTACATTTTAATTTTTTTTATTTTCTTATGTAATTTATTTTTTTAAATTTATTTTCAAGCAAAGGAAACGTTAACAAATTTTATGCATAATTAATTATTACGGAGCAATTATTAAAGCTTAATTTAAGGACTTACTGCATATGATTAGTGTGACATAGCTTCCCGGCGACCGAAATAGCGGCGTCAATCTCATGGTTCTGATAAAGCATGTCCGGATCGGACACCATGGGCACCTTCCTCTTCTTGTAGGCGGCGGCGCACACCTGCGCCAGCCGCGTGAATGGGCTGCCGGCGGGATCCAGATTCCGGTACAAAGGGTACCCGAAAACGAAGGCGACGATGGAGATGGCCATGGCTACGGTGGGGACCCCGAACCCCCACCCCCAGCCGACGTTGTCCTGTATGTACACCACCACCGTCACCGCCACCAGCATCGATCCCCCCATGCAGAAGTAGTACCAGTTGAAGAATCTCCACGTCCGCTTCTTCTCTTCCGACTCGGCCTCGTCGAACTGGTCCGCCCCGAACGCCACCACGCACGGCCTGATCCCGCCCGACCCGAAGGCGGTGAGGAGAAGCGACACGTAGAGGATTGCCACCTGACCCGAGTTCGCTTCCTGGCAAATCTGGTCCGCGGCCTTCTTGCATGGCGGCGGCCTGAGTTGAGGAAGTATAGCGGATATGGTTAAAAGCGTCATTCCCTAATTAACACCCACCATAGACACAATAATAAAACACATTATTGGAGTGAGTCATGAGACATTTAAATGAACTAGCTAGATCACATTAAAAAATTGAATCGGAAGAAACAGTTAATGAAGTACTACCTTCGTCCCGTGAAACATTTTCTCTTTCTTTTTTTATCCGTCCCACCAAACACTTCTCATTTCTATTAAAAAGTCACTTTTACCCCTTACTTTTTCATACCCTACCTATCACATCATACCTTTTTACTAATAATCTATCCATCAAATCATACTTTTACCCATCACATCAAGGACATTTTTGGAAATTCAATACCAAAATATACTTCCTTAAATCCCTCCTAAAATGCAAATATCCCATGTTTCACGGGACTGAGGAAGTAGTAATTAATACTCGGGCAAGGAACGTACGATTTGGTAGATGATGGAAGCAAGGGTGATGGTCCAAAACCTGCCGGCGAAGGAGTCGGCGAGGAAGGCACCGAGCAAGGGGGTTAAGCTGGCGGTGCCGCCGAAGTTGGTGAGGGTATTGGCGGCTTTTGTCAGGGGGAGGTGCAACTGGGTGGTCAAGTAGATGATCATGTTTGCCGCAAATCCCACCACCGCCAACTTCTCACATATCTCATTTGCTGCATCATCATCATCATCATCATGTGTATCCATACATATATGTACTGATGACATGAATTAATTGAGTAGAAACCATATATATAGATTAGATGGAGAAAAAGTACCAAAGATGAAAGGCATGGTGATCATTCCACCCTTATTATTCACCCTTTTGTGGGTTTTTCTTCTTCTCTCTTCCATTATTTCTTCTTTCCCCATTTTCATGATCGATACGACGACGGTGTGGCCACCTCAGCTCAGCTCAGATCGATCACCAACTAGCTAGTTACATACAGACCACTTAATTATTGTTGTAACGAAGCTTAGATAGATAGATATATAGGTAGGTCATGACTCATGTGTGGTGTATGTCCGAACCAAGCTTTGGGCTTTATAGGGGAGTCTTTGACTCCTCGATTTAATTTAGGCTCTTTTCTATTGGCCCATCTAATCTATTTGGCCAAATATGATTAGATCTTTAGATGGTCGATCTGATCTCATCTCATCTTAGGGGCTGTTTGTTTCAGCCTCTTAATGATTCAGATGTCTGAATGGTTCAGCACTTAATGATTCAGACTGTTTGTTTCAGCCTCTTAATGGTTCAGATGTCTGAATGGTTAAGAGATTTGCCTCTGAATGGTTAAGTATTATACATAGTCTGAATGGTTAAGACCTCTTATCTGAATTGATCAGACATTTGCATCTGAATAGTTAAACAATATACTAGCTCTTAATGGTTCAGACCTCTTACTGGTTCAGCACTTAATGGTTCAGACCTCTTACTGGTTCAGCACTTACCTATTCAGAAGTTGCCAAACAGCCCCTTAGTGTAGGTATATTTAAAGTTACGTCATTTATAATTTTATATTAGATCCGATCAAATGGTCACTGAGAGATATTAAATTAGACTTTGATCACAGATTGGTAGCAAAGAATGAAACTTACACACTTGCACCTGGTACTTGCAGAGATCCAATGTTTTACATGATTGTCTCCGAATGCAGTTGCTAGAAATTGAATCAAACTCGAACTCCTTGACATTTCTTGCCATGCCCACGAGCGGGGATATGGTTCGATGATTAAAGGGAGCAGTCGGCAGAGAATGGTAGGTAGGCTATTGCATATTGGTCACAAAGAGCAGTAGTAGAGTACATATTTAGAGGACGTATACAGACTACTTCTTTGTCTTATCCCATGTCAATTCCCCATTTTTCTTCTATTCTTCTTTAATTTCTTTTCTATGGTTGGTGATTTTTAAAAAACAAAAAACTTCTGTTTTAAGTTAATACTCCCTCCGTTCCACAAAACCCTTCCTCTTTGTTAGACATATATGGAAAGAAGTCTAGTTATAGCAGAATTGTTATTTATGTTAGTTTACTTATTTGGTGAATCCTAGTCCATGTAGGGATCCTCACCTATATAAACATCCATGTACACAATTATTCCTTAGGAGTGAATTCATAAATCAACATGGTATCAGAGCTCCAAGATCCTTTTTTCTCTCCTTTCTTGCTGCGTTAATCATTAAAAAAAAAAAATCGGCAGAGCCGAGCTCTCCTACCAGGCCGTGCACAGCCATGGCGTCTGTCTCTTCTGATCCTATGGATCGTCTCCCTACGGGTCTCAAGTTGTTTGTCCGGAATCTCCAATCTCTAACCCCGGTCAAGCTTGATGACACCAATTATCCCTCTTGGTCAGCCACCGTCCGTGCAAATCTCCTCGCTCATCGCCTTCTCGGCTATGTGGATGGATCTGAACCGTCTCCTCCGTCTCTTATTCTTGATGAGAAGGCTGCATCACCGGGAAAGGATGAACCGCCGGTTATGAAACCAAATCCGGCCTATGAATCCTGGCGTATTGTTGACGCTCAAATTCGGGCCTATCTCCTTGCTATTGTCTCACCTACGGTTCAGACACATATTCATGCTCTTCCCACCTCGCTTGCAATTTGGAATCATCTAGAACAACGGTACAACTCTCTTTCACGAACTCATATATTTCAGTTGAAGGAGCGTCTCCATGGTGTTACTAAGGGGACCGATTCGATGCAATCCTATTTGGACACGGTTCTCACTATTGTGTCGTCTCTCAAACTGGCTCATGAAGAAATCTCTGAACAAGATATTATCCTTTGTGTTCTACGAGGTCTACCGGCCGACTATGCCTCCCTCAAGCAAAATATTCGCACCAATATTGCCACCGTCACCTTTAATCAGGTCTCCTCTTGGTTGTTGTCTGAAGAATTGAATTTATCTTTTGAGAAAAAATTGTCTCTTGGTGACTCCGCCTCTACTTCGTCTGTTGACATTCATAATG